CCAATGCTAAGAATATACTTAGATGGATACCTGTTAATGTATCTCTCTCCCTGAGTCATTCTCAGAAGATGAGTCAACTGGAGTATGCAGCCCAGGGACTTTGTGAAAATCTGCTCCCAGGTGCCATTTTGTCAAACATTTGTGCCTGTGTTTTCAAGAAAGCCAATCTATGAGTAAAGGAAAGCAGTTCAATCAATTGCCCTGTTGAAATTAGTGGAACATGTTTAAGTATTTAAGCCAAAGTAGCCTAAAATATCAGAGATTATTTCCAGGTTTCTGAGACAGGGAATTTCCTTTGTGTGCAGCCTATCATCTCTCAGCAGTTATTCATGCTAAAGCTGAGAACTCAGCAATTTGGACAATTGTATTATTTTAAATCTAACAACAATGATCATGTGATATGCTGAATAAGCAAGTTGTGTCACATTTACAAATAAATTCAATATATACCTTTTGTTTTATAAGCATACTCGATCTAGAAAGATATGTGGTAGTGGAGTTATTTGACATCTTTCAAACTGATAGCATTAAATAACATTCTGTGGCAGTTATATGAACAGTGAATTTTTTAAATGCATCTTTTAAATTGTATTCTGTTCCACTGCAATCTGTTTAATCAGGGAGTTGAAGAGTTAAATTCTTGGGCCATAGAAAAGCCATTTATACCCCTCTTTTATTTCTGAGACTTCAGTGAATCCACTGCTAAATTAGTCCCATCCACCTCCCCGCCTTCTCTGTATTATTGCATTCTTTAGAATTGAATGACTCGTGAGTGAGATACCAACCATAGCCTGATATATTTATTTATAGTAAGCATCCGTATGCAGAAGCTTGTATAATTTCTGCAAGTTATCTGCGAATTAAGATGATGAAGAGAGAATTAAAAAGGTTGTTTAAGTTGTGAATTTCATATTTAGCCTCTCCCCAGTGGTACTGGGGAGAGGTACTATAGGCTGTACTATAGGCTGAAGTGTTCGATAGGTGCAAGTTAATTCCAGGTAGTGTCACTGTGGTTGCTATGGAGAAAGGTAACTGAAGTTCCTGAACATATTCTGCATCAGTAGTTTGATGCTTCAAGCTGCTCTTTGGATGCAGCCGGCAGTTGTCAACAAATGTGTATTAGTTTTATTTGACAAGCGCAAGTTCTTTACGCTGAGCACTTAAAATAAATCTCAATGTAATTTGTGTTGTCATTGACGTTATGCTTTGTTCCCATTCCATATGAAATAATGGAAAGTACCTGTCTATGAGCTGATTTCTAACCTAGCCTCAGCATTACGTTTACCACTCTGAGTGCTACTCATTTTCTAAATTCGTACAACTGCCCATGATAGATGCCTAGTGTAGCTTTCTCCCTGGGGTACGTTATTGACTTTCTGATAAAATTTGGCTTAGTTTGCTCTGAAGGAAAAAAGAAACATGAAAGGGAAAATGAGCAGGCAGAATATCGCCACAGCATTCTGCCTCGCTGGAGTGAGGCGGGGGGGGAATCATAAAAACATGGAAAAAAGGAGCAGGAATAAGTCATTCAGCCTTTGAATCTGCTCCACCATTCAACATGGTTATAGCTGATCATCCAACTCAGTACTCTGTTCACACACTCTCTCCGTACCCTTTGATTCCTTTAGCCCTAAGAACTATATCCAACTCCTCAACTGCTTTCTGTGGCAGAGAATTCCACAAGCTGACCCACTCTCTGGGTGAAGAAAGTTCTCCTCATTTCAGTCCTATATGGTCTATCCTGTATCCTTAAACAGTGACCCTCTGGTTCTGGACTCATGGGTCATTGGGAACATATATTACCCTGTCTAGTCCTGTTAGAATGCTGTCAGCTTAAAACAGTATAACATGAAAGTTATAAACATAATGAACTTTTCAAGTGCTAGTTCCAGTCTGGAGGATTCTGACAGTGAGAAGACTTAAACCATAAAAATGAATATCTTAAGGGTGAGTTGAGATGCTGAAATTTTTGTCCACCCCTGTCTACACCCCTCATAATTCTTTACAAATCACCAACACACAGACTTGCTAAAGAACTACAACAGAAATTGAAATACTTAGTGGACAACACTACCCAGTCCATCTACTCATCCCAAGAATTCCTCAAAATCGTCAAGGACACCAGGATAGAAGAAGACGAGATGATGATATCCTTTAATGTAACAGCACTATTTACATCCATAAACACTATCCTAGCCAAAGAGACAATTGCCACACTGCTGGACGAATCGTGTAAGCAGGCAGCTCGGGACACCGCAAACATCAATAAGGACACCACCATGATTTTGCTAGATCTGTGCCTCACAACCCACTTTATCTTTAACGACGGCACATACAAACAAATCAATGGAACGCCAATGGGATCCCCAATATCAGGACTGATTGCAGAAGC